GCGGGCTGCGAGGTGCTAGCTGGTCACCTGGGGCCCCTGCAGCCCCCTTGGCATCCCACAAGCCGGGATGGGATGATTCTGCCGCCCCTGGCAGCTGCTGGGTCTTGTGTTTGCCTGGCGTCTGCAGACTGCAGCCTCACAGAGAGCGAGTATGGGGCTCTTCCCAGCTGGCACAGGGGCTGTGGCAGGGACCTCACACCCCACACATCCTGGTGCCTGATGTCTCAGTCAGCTTTGGAGAACTGGTGTCATCTCCAGGGCCTACTTCCTAATGCCAGGCCAGCCCAGACCCCTTCCCCTTGCTGTTTCCTCGGAGGAACACTCGGTTGTCACCAGCCAGCCGTCCTGAGGCCCTGATGGTCTTAAGGACATGCCCAGTCTTCAGGGCAAAAGAACACTCTCAGGAGGGCACAGGCCCTGGCCAGCCATCTGTCTGAACCAGTGGCCGTGGTCGTCACCGTTCCATCCAGTCAGAAGCACCCTCCACACCCCAACACAGTATCGTGCGTGCAGATACACCTGATTGTGACCAGACACCGTTCCCACGTGCTTTCTGGCCATGCTGTTTAATTCATGCCTCTCACTCGCACCCACTCAGTTGGCTTCACAGCCCACAGTTTGAAAAGCACCGGTCCAGACAGCCCGGGTGCTCGCAGACATCATGGGACACTCACTGCTTACCAAACAAGTGAAATGAAGCATGTGCTGTGCGCGTGATGCCGACTCACTCCCTCCCTGCGGAGGCGGTGGCCCTGACGCCCGGCCCTTGCCCCCCTGTGCTGTGGTGGCGGCAACCCTTAGGGTGGGCAGCGGCCGTGTCCTACCACGCATCAGGCCAGGTACTGTGTAGTGTCCTTCCTGGGGACTTGGGCCCACACTGGTGCTCTGCTTCTCTACACGTGATCCGTAGAATGGTGACGACGGTTCTTTCCAGACACGTAGGAGGCCTCAGCTCTTGTCACCGTGTGCTCCAGGGCTTGCTGGCTGTGGGGCTGGGCTGGGGAGCAGGGTTGTCCAGAAGGCAGCGGGGAGAGGTCTGCTTGTTGAGTCAGCCTGGGGCGCTGAGGGCGCCTCCAGGTTCCGAGTGGTGGCCTTTGCCCTGCTGCTCACTTCTGGGGCTTGGCGCTCCCCAGGTCTGGTGGGAGCAGGTGGGCAGCCCGTGTGCCTCGTCTGGAGGGGCTGCCCACTGCGGCACAGGAACAGGCAGGGGACTGGTGTGCCTTCCGCTCTGCCTTGCACTGAGGTCTGCAGGGAAGCGGGAGTTTCCTGCTGCTCAGAGATCCCCAGCCTGGCCTGGGGTGCAGACTGGGCGGCAGCAGGTTGGGGTCTGAAATGCTCCTGCTCTCGTGCAGAGGCCTGTGCGTGTGCACACACATGGGCATGTACAGTGTCAGGGTTGGATGAGAGGTAGCTGAGAGCCAGGCCACAGCTCAGGAGATTAACATGAAGCTACCAACTGAATGCTGGAGCGTGTCCTCAACGCTCTTCCCCAGCCTTGTATCACTGGCCCAACCATCTCGTAGGCCTTCCGCCTGTGGGCTGGCTGGTCCCTGCAGTGGGGCCCAGGGAGTTGAGGGGGGCCTGAGGAGGGTCTGGGCGGGCCAATGGTGGCAGGTAGCCCGGGCATGAGGCTGCCCGTGAGGAGCCAGCGGAAGACAGAACCTCTCATCCCAGCCAGGAATAGAACCAGAGGAACACATGTGAGGAACGAGACGCCAGCATGTTGCTTGGAGATGTGTAAGATCTCCCCAGATGTCTTACATTATCACACGCATTCTCCCGGCCAAAGATGGCAGGGTCCCTGATGGTGTCCCCAGGCAGCCGGGGAGGAGGGACCCTGCATTCTCGGCAGAGCCAAAGCATGACTGAGTGCTCCATTGTCAGTTTGCGTTCAGAGATGAAGTGGACACAGAGGAGTTGGAGGGAGGTGATTAATAAAACGGATGGCTTCCGTCCCTGGATTCCAGAATCGCTTGAATCTGAATCACTGATGCGTGTAGGAACTCTGAGGGGGATTTAAAAAAACAACAAAAGAGCAGAAAGATAGGGAACTGAGAACACAAAAATAGCCGTCAGCCCCGTGCCCGAGCGTCGCCGGGCAGGATGGAGCTGGCCGGCTGGGGTCCACTTCCTTCTCCAGAAAGCGGATGACTTTGAAACAAAAAGTACAGCTGAAGTCTTCTGGAATCTGAGCGATAAAGCCAGGCTGGCCAAGGAGCTCCAGGCACCCACCACCCCGCGTTCTTTGCGTGTTTTTGAGGAGAGTTTGGAGAACTCGGTCAGGCGTCTCGTCTGCCGGGGGAAGCGTCTTGTTTTCGCTGCTCCAGAGGGCTCCAGAGGGCTCCAGTGTTGCGTGTGTTCTTGTGGGCTTCCTGGTTTTTTAAATAGTGCAATTTCTGTTTTTCTTTGAGATCAGCAGAGTCCCATAGATCTTCCTGCCCGGGGCTGCTACAGCTCGCCCTCTGATGTGGTGGCCCCAGGAATCTCTGTCCCCCACGCTCCTGGCTCTGTCCTGTCTGCTCAGGCCATTCCTGGATGTTCTAAATCAACAAACCACAAGCCTTTTTCCTCTGTCGCCTCTGAGGAGCCCAGATGGAAAGCTCGGCTCCCCTAGTGAACTGGGCCGAGGCACCACGCAGCTCTGCTGCCCACGACTGCGGGCCCTAAGAGGACACCGACCTGCACCAGGGGTGGCGTCTCCATTCTAAGGGTGGAAAAATGAGGCCTTGGAGGCCGAGTGCTAGATCTAGCCGGGTCTGAGCTGCTGATCCCCCGACTCAGGGCTTTGCTGGACCAGCGTTGAGAGCCTCGGTTTCCCCACGGTTTCGGGCTAAGATGTGCCCCACCCTCCTGGCCAGCCGTGGGGGCCGTGCTCTGGGCAGGGGTAAACCTACAGACAGCTGTCGCCCAGACATCACGTCGCACCTGGAGGCCCTGGGAGCAGACGCCTGGGTGTGCCTGCTCGGGCCTCTCTGTTTCGTCCTCCCGGCTCCCGTGCAGGGCTTGGGCGGGTCACCTCAAGTGAGGCCCAGCCCCCCCATCAGCCCGCCTCAGACAGGGTCCCCCAGAGTGTGTGACTTTGACCCAAAGCGAAGTTCCCCTGCCCTGCTGGTGGGGCTCTTCCCCGCCCCTGAGAGTCACCTGAGGTGTTATCTGGGGCCTTCTGCACTGTCGACTCTGTTTATGGTGTTTTGCAATCGGAAAAAGACAAGAGATTACAAAGTGCCCGGCCGGGGACTTTGGATTCCAGCAAGGCGTCCAGCCATCCTGAGCATTCAAGTTCTTCCTTTAAAACTCTCTTTGTGTGGAGTAGCTGGTGCTCTGGTCAGGCTACGTGGCCTGACTCCTTGTTCCACTCGTAGGGCCAGGGTCCCCCACTCTGTCATGCGGGATGGGGGCCCCCAAAGGCAGGCGCACAGGCAGCTTCTGGAATGTTTGTTGAGCAGCTGTGTTTACCATTAGGGTTTGGGTTTGAATGAGAGGCCCTTGTGGTGAAAGGCGTGGCTTCCTCGGCTCAGATTTGCCAGCATGTGCGGCTATAGACTGCCCCCCACGGGGAGCTGAGGGTGAAGCCAGGCAGTGAGCAGAGCTGGACGGCAGCCAATCAGAAGGCAGCCCCCGTCTCCTCCTCCTTCCCCCTTGCCCTGTGGTCCCCGGGCCCTGAAGACGCCGCAGGATCCTGGGGGCTGGACCCATATCCCTTAGTCAGTTTTGTCACCATCACCGCCATGACTTGGCCATGACCCTGTGAAGGGCCTAGGGTCTGCGGAGATCCCTGCTCTGTACCTGCTGGCAAGCAGCCTGCTAGGGTGCTTGGGTGGGATAGGATGGGGAGGCGCTTAGTGTGTGCGCCCCGCTCTTCTCGTTCGGTCCCCTGTTGGCATGGGTGACCGAGTGGGAGCCAGCAGTCCCTCACATATCCAGTCCCATCCCACTGCTGAGGGTGCACAGGGCCCTCCCTTTCCTGCCCTTGGTCGGCCAGGGCCCTGGGTCCACCGTGAAGCAGCAGGGGCCTGGGAGCACAGCTCACCCACTCCATCCTGCCCCGCTGCCCTGGGGCCCGGTCACTGGGTATCCAGAGGGCAGGCTCAGCAGGGCTCCTGACCCAGCAGGCCTGCCTGTCTGTCCCAGCACCATCCTGCCTCTGCAGGCTCATGGCTCCCAGCTCGGGCCTCTTCTGTCACCCCACTCTCCACTCTCTCTGTCTGTGCCTGCTGGTCCCTGCTCTGCCACCTGGGGCTGTAGGGGCACCCGGCGGCCCCCGAAGGGGTTTGCAGCTGGCCAGGCCCCAGGAGAGCCCCACTCGACATAAAGCTGTCCTCTGCCCTGCCCTCAGGGCCTGGCAGAGCATGGCTGTCCCACCCCAGCAGGGCAAGGGAGAGGGATGCTTTCCTGTGGCCGAGGGGACCCCAGAGCTGGAGCAGAGCCATCAACTGGGTTTCGCTCTAACACTGGTGCCTGCGAGGGGCAGGTGGTGTGGCTCAGTCCCCTTTCCCTGTCTGGCAGGTGTGTCCATCCATCCCAGGGCCCCTGTGTGGCTCCCATGAGCATTACCTCACGGGCTGCAGCCATTCCCTGTGCTGGGTGCAAGGCGGCCCTGATGGGTCGGAGTGCTCACACACATGCGGGGGCGGATGGGGGCCTGGGGACATTGCCGCCCCTCCCTCCTCTCAGTGAGTCCCCACAGCCGGGCACGTGGAGGCCGCAGAGGGCAGGGGCTGTGTGCAGGGTCAGCCCCACTTTCCCTAGCCTTCACTGCTCTGGGGTCAGAGGTCACCCGGGATGGCCTGAGGTTCCTTTGCTGCTCGAGCGCCATGAGGAGACACTGGGTGGGAGGGTCCCAAAGTGCTCCCTACTCTGGTCATGATGCAAGGGGGCTTGGGCTCAGCCCCCTGCAGTGTCCAGGGCCAAGCAGGCCGCCCATGAGTGGGAGGGAGGCATGGGGCTGTGTCCCCTCCTGCCCCTTCCGCCCCCCGCCTCAGGCCCTCCTCTCCCTGCAGCCTGTTCGACATGGGCGGTGAGTATTACTGCTTCTCTTCCGACATCACCTGCTCCTTTCCCGCCAATGGCAAGTTCACCGCAGACCAGAAGGCCATCTACGAGGCGGTGCTGCGCAGCTGCCGTGCTGTCATGAGCGCCATGAAGCCAGGTGAGGGCGGGGCCCACGGAGAGGACCGCCTGGTGGGGTGCCGGGCGGCAGGGCATCTCTGAGAAGTGGGTGCTGCCCCCTACAACCCACATCCATCCCTCCCTCACTCGCCTGGCCCATAATGCCCTGATGGTGTCGGTCCCCAGGGTCACTGTTAGGGAGGTGGGCTGACCACCAGGCAGGGACAGAGCTGGGAATCGGGCAGCACAGCCCAGGGTCATCCCACGTCCCATCCGACCTCCTGCAGCTGCATGTCCCCCTGCCCACACTGGCCCCTGGGATGTCAGCATGGCCCCTGCCCTGTCCCGAAGCAGAGTCCACTCTGGGAGCTCTGCACACGGGCATCTGGTGCACATGGGCACCCTCTTGTTCAGGGCCGGTGACTGCGGCTGCATTTGGCAGGGCCGAGTGTGTCTCCTGGGTTTGGGAAATGGTGACCAGAGGCTTTGGGGTCGTCTGAGGACCTGGCGTGACATGTCTTGAAGGCTGAACTTGGAGTGCAGACTGAAATCAGGGAGACCAGCAGTCAGATTTGCATCCTCCATGGAGTCTTGATTTGAAAAAAGAAAAAGGAGAAAGGGTTCTGAGCCCCGGAACTCTCAAAGCCCCAGGATGTGGCCTCCTGTGGGCCCAGGACCTGGCGGCCCGGCCTTTGGCTCACAGCCCCTGTGGCCCCACGGCGAGTCATTGGGATAAGTTAGCCGTGGCTGCCGGCCAGGGGCTGTTTTGCAGGGGTCCTCAGCAGCTGTCGCTTTGAGAAGTGAACTGTGAGCAGGGCTTTCTGGATGGCCCCCTGTCCAGCCCTGAGAGCCCCCACCAGAGGCCAGGGAGCCATGAAGGGATGCTGGGGGCACGCCAGGCTCCAGCCCCGCACCCTCCTTGCCTAGCGTGAACAGAGCTTAGTGACCAAATGAGTCCCAGGACAGGGAACTCAGATGTGCCCCAAAAGGAAGACAAGGAAGGAGAACCCAGAAGTGGAGCTCCTGATGGGGTGGCAGCGTTGATTGGATCTGCCTGGTTTATCGGCTGTGGAAGAAGACAGCGTCTTGTGCTAATTGTTTAAAAAGCAGGAGTCTCCTTGAAGGTTACTACAGGAAACCTCCAGGACAGACTGTTGCTAAAGACACAACAGTGACGATGGGGCGGCCAGCGGCCCCCTTTTGTGCAAAAGAAAAGGGGACAGTGAGAATGTGGATTCATGGGTGCTTGTAAATCCATGGGGAGGTGCAAGGAGGGAGCCAGACCACAGGCTGGGGGCGTGGGAGGAGGGGAGTGCTCACCAGGGGCCTTTATCCCTTTTGGCCTTTAGACCCCGGACTGCACCCGCTGTCCTGTGAGACCCCACCTGGTGCAGCAGTTGCTCCAGCGGCTGCCACGCCGCCTCCTGCTCTCCTTAAGCCCTCCGTCCATCCGGAGGAGGAGTTTTTGCTCAGTTGTGGAGGGCATGGGTCATCTAAATGACGAGTGTTTCAGACGGAGCGAACAGCACTGGCTTGGAGGGTGGGTTGTGGCTCCCGGCCCCAAGGAGGCCCTCCGCCTTACGCCCCGCCCTGTACTGCAGTCATGGTGGAGGTTGAGCAGATCGCATCCCCTTTCCCTTTGGTGGACTCTTCACCTGTGCAGACAGGTGTGAATTAGATGTCCAGGAGGTCCAGGCCCTGGGCTGGAAGGGGCCAGCGCCCCACTTCCCAGTGGAGCCAGTCAGAGCCGAGCCATGCTGCCAGGGAGGGCTAAGAGGGGCCAGAGCCCACCGTGAGCCCCCAGACCCCTGTGTAGCCACGCCCCATGGCAGGTCTCTCAGAGGGCGGAGTGGGCCTGCTTGCACCCGAGCCACACTCCACCCTGGAGACGACGGGGCAGGCAGAGGGAGCCCAGGCGTGGCCGGCGGTTGAGGAGAGCAGGTTGGCAGGATGTTGGGCAGGCGGAGCTTCGGAAGGACACTGAGTCCTCTGGGGCTCTTTGCTCACCTCTGAGCTCCAGGCTTCAAGGCCTGGCCAACCCACCTGCCGCTCACCCCCAGGAAAGCCTCCTGGGGTCGGGCAGGGCCTGTGTGTGTGGCACCTTCTCAGCTGGTGTCCTGGCCAGATCAGTCGGCCAACAAAGCAACCCCAATTCTGCCCAGAAGGTGGCCAAGCCCACAGGCAAGTCCCGAGGGCCCCATGTCCCAGCATTCACCCTGTCACCCTGGTCCCATGGGGCTGCCTGGCCATGCCCCTCTTGGGGCAGCCACAAGGCCTCGGGACCAGCCGGACCGGGCTCAGCTGAGCGTCTTTGCAAACTGTGTGGGGTGGTCCTGCCAGCACACAGTGGACACAGGCTGGGTCTGCACTGGGGCCTCGAAGTTCCCTTGTGTGCGGGATGGAGCAGATGCCCCACAGTACGCCCCCACCTCTACCGCCCATTCTTGGAGATCGTGGCCGCGGGCCAAGCCTGCCTCCCTCAGTGCCTCACACAGTGCGGGCCCCACAGGGTGGCTCCTGGGCCCACAGAGCTGCTCTCAGATGGGGGCAGGTCGCCTCCCCATAGCAGCAAGGAGGCCGCGGCCAGGGCAGCCCCATGCCCTGTCCTAGCGGAAATGCCCCTGGTTTGTGGGTTCGGCTCCTGGGCCAAGCCAAACTCCCGCTGAGACTGCATGGCTGCTTCCTGTGACCTTGCAGGGAAGAGTAAATAAAGGCAGCGGGGTCACAGCAAGCCGCCCAGAGCAGAGCAGAGAGGGATGTCAGGATATGCTGGATCCTGAGGTATGGCCCCAGGGTCTGAGGAAGGCAGGCCTTGGCCTCCAGTCCTCAGGTCAGAGGGGAGCGTCCCTCACTGTCACTCAGAGATAGCCAGGGAAGGAGCACTGAGCTCCCTCAGAGGGTGGACAGGGCCAGGCCAGGCAGCGGTGGCACATGGAAGAATGCCACCCATGCTGGCCCCACGGAAAGGGCCTGGATGCCACAGCTGTGCGCTGGCTTCTGGCTGGGGGGGATCGAAGCTCTCCATGGCTTCTGTCAGGGCAGGCAGCCTACCCTGTGCAGAGCACCGTGTCACATGGGCACCAGAGAGTGTGCCAATGGGCCCCGGTCCTCCTGAGGGGAGGAGGCACTGTGGGGAGGGCAGGGGTGTGCCTGACAGGGGCGGCCCCAGGTGGCCCGCATGGCCCACCATGTGTCTCCTGTGGCTCATGGTTGGGATGCCTTGCCGGTTCTGCCTCCCTCCCGGGCAGGGGCTGGGCTCCCCTCAGGCTTCTCCTTAAAGATGACACAGAACCCAGGGTCTGGTAGACAGAGGTACGGGGACAGCATGCCACCCAGACCGCAGATGACCTCTGGGGCAGGAGCCAGAACAGCGAGGGCCCATGTCCCTGCTGCTGGCCATAGGATGGTGGGCGAGCTCCCGCCCTCCCTGACCTTTACTCCCTCAGAGCTGTCTGCCAGGCAGGGGGGACCATGCAGAGACTGCGCAAGGCAGCCACGCTCGGCTCAGCATCGAGGCGCCTACAGCCCAGGCACACGCTGCCCCCTGCCCTTCCACAGGGTGAGTGGGTCCCCAGAGGTCTTGGCAGCAGACGGGTCTACAGTGGTGTGGGCTGGAGGCCCTCAGCCCAGCGCCAGCTCAGCCTGCCAGGCAGCTCCCTGCGGCCCACAAGCCTGCCCCAGGACCCCAGCCCTGAACCTTCCCGCCTGCACCCCCAGGGCCTGGCGCACACATCATCCCCTGAGGGCCATTGTCTTCAGATGAAGTGAGCTCTTTGTTTGGATGTGTCTGTGAGGATGCAGCTCGAGGGGCCCTCTGCTGCCTTGCTGGCTCGGCTCAGGGCCTCAGAGACCCCAGGGCTGTCACACTCTGGGCAGGAGGCCTCAAGGCAGTGATGGATGCTGCTAAGGCTCTGAGGAGCTGGCCCAAGCAGCAGGCCCAGCAGGCTCCCGGCCCATCAGGAGGTGTGGCCTGAGGAGGACCAGGTGGGCACAGAAGGACAGCTGGTGACCTAGGGCCACTCTGGACACATACTGGGGCACAAGGGTGGGGTGCAGACCCAGAAGCTACCCTGCCTCCCTGGAATCTGACTGCATGGAGGAGCAGGGTCGGGCACACCCGACTTTCGGGTCATGCCAGGAGGGAGCCTGGGGTTCCTGCTAAGGCCACATGTTTACCAGGCTGGAGCAGGGCACAGGCCTCTCCCTCTCTGGGCTCAGAGGCTGCGTCCAGCCACAGCTGTGGCAGTGCAGTGCTACACTGTGGCAGGAGGAGCTCTGGCAGTACAGCAAGGAGCAGTCAGGGAGGGCTTCCTGGAGAAAGCCTCAACACAGGCCCGTGGGAGGGATGGGAGTGAGTCTGGGAAGGTGAGGCCCTTGGAGGCGTGGTCCCGACTCAGGGAACAGCAGGTGGAAGGGAAGGGGAGTGCCAGCACTGAGGCACTGACCCAGGAGCGGGTGAGGGATGAGGCTGCAGAGCAAAGCCAGGCTGAGGAACTCGGGGCTCTGTCCTCAGGGTGGGGCCAGTCTGACCCATGTGCTAAAGAGACGACCCTGGTATTTGACTTTATGCAGGAGGCCGTGGGGGATGAGGCATTGCAAGAGCCGGGGAGAAACCCGGGCCGAGGTCCAGGAGAGGTGGGGACCCGCAAGGGGTCAAGATGCTTTGGGGAAGAGGAGACAGATGTGCTTGCTGGAGGTGGGAGGGAGGCAGGGCACGTGACGCCCAGTCCCTGCAGCGTGATCCCCACTGTGCGTCCCCAGTGTGAGCAGGCTTGGGGGACCGCCGATGCCTTCTGGCCGGTCATGTGGGCTCCGAGGTGCCTGGGGCTGCCGCGGGAGGGGAGCCCCGCAGTCAGGCCAGGGGCTGCCCCCAACGTGGTCTGGGCCTGGCCGGTGGGGGGCCCTGTGGCATATGCCCACCCCATAGCCTAGCCCAAGGACAGTAACCTCCACACACTTCAGGGGCCTCTGCCCTGGCTGTGGGTGTCGTAACCACCATCCGGGCCAGACACTGGGGCCAAATTGCTGGAGGTTTAATCACTGTCACAACGCTAACCACACACATGCAGAAACTCCCACTCCGGGCCAAGAGTGCTGTGTGGAAGGCCTTCCCCGAGGGTGCACGGGCGAGGAGACTTGAGGCGCCGCGGGGACCGCCTGGGCCCATGCATCCGGCCCCCACAAGGGGCCGTGAGGACAGGAGAGGAGCCGAGCTGCCAGCACGCAGCATGATTTATACCTGCCTCCCGCCCTCTGCCGAGGCCCCGCGCTGGAAGTGAGCCCGGATTGTAGTCAGGCTGTTTCCTGGGGCTCCTTTGTGGTGACCAGAAAAGACCCCTGCCCCAGAGAAATGAGGCTGCGCAGGGGTTGGGGTGTCGGCCACCACACAGGACGCCCTTCCTCAGCCCTGGGGCCAGGCTGGCTGCCGGAGCTGAGTTTGCAGAGCCTAGGGAAGAGCGCCGCCCCTGACCGGGTGCTCACTCTGCTGGGCCCCGGGGTGCCCTGGAGGCAGCCACTCCTCTGTGGGAGGACGAGAAGCAAGTGGGCAGGCCCGTCTAGTGGACAAGGGACAAGGGGGAATGTGCACAGGGAAAAAGCATCACGACAGCAGAGAGCAGCTGGCTGGGGAAGGTCTCGCCAGGGAGGGGCCGACTTACAGGAACCCCCTCCGCCCCCCGCCCCCTCGCTGAGGGTGAAGAGTCACAGGCCTGCCCAGTGCAGTCCATCAGCAGAGTCTGATGCAGAGTCCTTCCGGAACAGGCGGCCTGGCCTGGGGAGGCCAGGTGGGGTGGGGGGATCTTAGAGGAGAGCGATCCCTGAGGCCGGGGCAGGCTTGCCTTGTGCCCCAGGAACACAGTGGACTTGAAGTTTGAATCCAGGGTCTGGTTGGCCTGACGGTGATGGAAGAATAGTGGCTAATGACAGTTTTTGGGGGGACACTGACCCAGTCCACTGGTAGACGCCAGAGCCCCTTTGGCTGGCTTTCTAGGGCCAACATTGTGGCCGTGTGACAATACAGGCATCTGAGGCTCACGGAGGTGAAGCCTTACTCAGGTCACACAGCAGGTGAGCAGCCGAGCGGGGCTCCAGTTGCCGGGGTCTCCATTTCAGGATGCAGACCATCAGGGGTGCGGCCTGGCCTCTCCCTCCGTGCTGCTGTGGTCACTGCCAGACTCCAGACCCCAGGATGCCACCCCCACCTCAGCACCTCGTGGGCCGAGGCAGACAGAGCCAGACTCTAAGGAGGCCCACTGTCTCTTGGGACAGGTCTGGGCGTCCTTCACTCGGCCTCTCTGCGCCTTGGGCCATGGACTGGCCAGTGCCCTATGAACTCGCCAGGGTGCAACCTCACCCGCTTGCTCAGAGCCTGGATCCTGAGGATCCAGGAGGTTGGATCAGCCCTGTGCCTCCAGCCCACCCAAGACCTTAACTGTGGGGCTCTGTCTGGCAGGGAAGGGGCCCCCGCGTGGGAGACTCGTGCACAGCGAGTGTCTCAGAGAGATGATGGCCTGTGTCCCAGGGTGGGCTCTCATCCGTCTCTACCCCTTGAGCCCGTCGTCTGCCCTCTGCCAGTCACAAAAGTTCAGAGAGCCCTGAGCCCAGACCCTGGTGGCCCAGACCTTACCAGCACAAGGTCCAGTGAGGCCCCTCGTGGTATGGAGTCCCTGCCAGTGCTCCCGTCTTATGGCAGTGGTCATCAGAGATGGGGGATATGGAGAGCAGGGCATGGTGGGGAGGCCCCTTGGGAGCCAGGGTTGCTCCCCACGTGGAGGGGGCCACAGCACTGCACAGGGGTGCAGGACCCCACCCTGTCCACCTGGCCCTGCGTGTCCTGGAGCCACTGGCCTCAGCCAGCACGTCTTGCCCCAAACTCAGCCCTCATGGGTTGGGGCAGGGAGCTTCACCGGCCTAGGTCCTTGTCTGGTGCTTAGGCTGGGAGCCCAGTGCCAGTGAGCAAGCCTGAAGCTGGGGATTCCACAGAGCCCAGTGGGCAGGGCAGGCATGCCCTAGTGATGGCTGTTGCTCTTTGAGGGTAGCTCTCCGAGAGCCCTAGGCTGTCCCCCAGGGCCTTCCAGGAGGCCAGACAGGACTGAGCCCCACAAAGCCTGCGCACCCCGAAACTCAGTGTCTGGGGCTGCTTTCCACAGTGATCTTTGCCCCAGAAATGTGGGGCAAAGATGAGTGTGATTAGCAGCCTGGGCTTGGACAGCTGGGCTGCCATAGAGACAGTCACCAGCGCTGGGAGCAGGCGGGGCTGCGGACCCTGCCAGGCAGCCCATGAGGCTGTGCCAGCGCACCTTCTCTCCAGAAACCTTTGCTCCCCACAGCTGCTCCAAGGGTGACTCAGCCCCGTTCGGGGATGTGCAGGGATGTGTTCCTCCCACAGTCCCAGCTTCCCCCTGGCCCACAGCCTGGAGCTCTGAGACAGCGTTCGGACCTGAGCCTTGGTCTGGGGCTCACTGAGGCCACCCCACATCTGCTGTTGGGGACATACACTTTCTCCTCCGGATGCTCAGGCACCTTGCTGGGCTCCCCTGGCCCCAGAAGCACACATGGGCCAAGGGTGGTCACAGCATGGGCTGAGGAGTAGAATGGGCTGGGCCCCTGTGGGAAGCAGGTATTTGAGTGCCCCTGGCCATGGATGACAGAAGCCTACCCCTGAGGGCACGATGGAGAGTGAGGAACGGTCTCAAGATCCAGAGCTGGGGCTGGGAAAGTCCTGCATGGAGGGCCGCCCCAGGCCATGTCACCCCTACCCCTCACCTCAGGCCCTCCAGCCTCAGCCACTGCGAGGGCTTCGCATGTCCCCGAACTTTGCCCAGGGGAGCCCTGGCCAGGCTGCCAGTCTCCACAGCTCATTGCAGCCTCCTTCTGAGCCACAGGCGTCTGGTGGCCGGACATGCACCGCCTGGCTGACCGCATTCACCTGGAGGAGCTGGTGCGCATCGGCGTCCTGAGCGGCAGCATCGACACCATGCTCCAGGCCCACCTGGGCGCCGTGTTCATGCCTCATGGGCTCGGCCACTTCCTGGGCATCGATGTGCACGACGTGGGAGGCTACCCCGAGGTCAGTGTGGACACGGCAGTGCAAGTGGCCTGCCCATGAGCTGCTGCTGAGCCTGGCCCTCGCCAGGGCAGGGAGGGGCTGGGTGTAGTGGGGACCGGCAGCACAAGGAGGAATGGGGTCCCGGCAAGGCCCGCTGCCCCTCTACCCGCTTCACCCATTGGTTGGTGCTGGCCCAGGCTGCTGCCATGATGCCCCCCGACCCGAAGTGCCCTGGTCAAGCAGGGCTGTCTCGGTGAGCTGCCTCCACCAGTGGCCACCTCGGCAGGAGAAGCGAGATGGGTGTGTTCCGCACAGTGAGCCCTGGGCTGTGTGCTGTGTGTAGCGCCTGCCCTGAAGAATGGTAGATGGTCAGCGTGCAGTGCGTGCGGTCCCCGCAGAGCAGTGGGAGCCCCAAAGCTGGGTCTTAGTGATGGGGCTGGCCCTGCACCTTTCACGTCCTCCTGCCTTGGGCTTCCTTCGGATGGGGGTGATGCGGCTCCATCAGCGGCAGCTGGCCCTGATCCCTCCTGGGACTAGTTGAGCCCAGCAGCCCCCAGGAGCCCAGTAGCAGACCTCCTCCCTGGGCGCCCTCTGCCCCGCAGGCCCTGGGCCAGCACGCCCTGTGGCCTCCTTGTCTCCAGCACTCTAGGCACCCTGGGCAGGGGAGGGAGGCTCATGTGGGTGGCTCCAGACTAGGCTTCCCCTTCCCCCTCCTGCCCACTGATCCTTGGAAGGACCACCCGGAGGGTGCTCACAGCCTTCCGGAGGCCCTGCTGGGCAGGTGGCTGCAGCCTCTCCGGCCTTGGGTGGGTGGGGGTGAGCCAGGCCCTGCCCCTGGCCTGCTGCCCTCTGTGCAGGGGGCTGATTATGCAATCAGTGCACGCCCTGGGGCCCTCCAGCCGCTTAGCCAAGACTAGGTTTGGCCTGCTGGCTGCAGGGTATTTTGAAAGCACTAAGAACGATTTTTGGGGGGAAAAAATTGCTCAAGAGAAGTATTATTATTCAATTATTTTTTCCTCAAGTGTAAACAGTTAAATTTGGAGAAAGAAAATCAGTTTTAATTTCCTAATTTCTCTCCATCACACTGAGCAGGGAGCCAAGAGCAGGGCCTTCCAGACATTGTTAACTGCGGTTCGGTATTCATTAGCGCCAAAGCGCTTTTTTTCCACCAGAGAAAATTGGCAGCAAACTGTTTTCATCTTTTCCAGTAAGCAGCCCTTTGTGCTCACAGTCTATTCTTCTGACAGATAAACATTGTGGAAAAAATACGGCTTTTCCTATAAAAGTCAATTGTTTTATTTCAGGCCTACAGACACATCTGGGTCTCCTCTGGTCAGAGCCCAGTAAAAGTTGAGGCCCCGTCCAGCCCTCTGCCCAGGCGACGCTGGCGTGGACCTGGGCTGGCTGAAGTCCTGGGCCCAAGAGGCCAGGGGCTCGGCCTCTCATTCGTGGGGTCTGCTCTCAGCCCCCGTCCCTCTCAGCCCTGCTCTGCTGTTCTGGGTGGGCCCATAGGGCAGAGTCCCGAGAGCTGATGCTCTGAAGGAGTGGCGGCCAGCATAGCCTCCCACGCCCCCGGGTCCCTCCCGTTCTCCCCTCACCCTCAGTTTGAGTGGTGGTCCTGAGATTTTCTGGAGGGAAGCCTGTGTACAAGCTTGAGCAGACTCTCCCCACCCTGCACACCGTGGAGCAGCTCGGTGTGGGAGGGGGAACGGCGGACACGACCTTGCCAGGTCTCTACCTCCACCAGGCCCCAGGCTTTGACAACCCTGGAGCGGAGGGAAGGGGACAGGCACATAGTAGAAGGTAAGGGACAGGGAGGGGGGTATCCAGGGACAGGCACAGACCTCAGATGGCAGGAGCGGGAACATCCCGGAACAGAGACCAGGACTCCAGCTCTGACAAGCAGCTTCTGGGAGGAGCCTGGCCCCAGCCCCATCCCACAAGCACCTCTCCCTGAGCACAGGGACCTTCCTTCCACATCCCCCACCCTCCTGCCTAGCCCCTCCAGGCACAAAGTGTTGTGGAGCCAGGTACCACACCAGACAGGTGTCTGCGCCCAGAGTATGACCCAGCAGGGGTCACATTGCCTTGATGACCCTCGTCACCTCCATCCCAGTCGGGCTCACAGCAGGTCGGGGCTGTGCACACCAGTTCCTGTGTGTGCCCCACTGTCCCCGCCTTACCCGCCCGGTGCCAGCCGTGGAGGCTGAGCCAGCCCGTTTCTGGTTACCTTACATGAACCACTAATTGAAGTCTGATGTTCTTAGCCCCTAAACAGTCAGAAGTGACAGGTCCATCTCCACAGCTGGGCTTCCAGGGATAGCCCAGAGCCTGCCCAGAAAGCTTGCTTTCTGCCCATTCACTCACGGGCCTTGGGCAAGGGCCACAGGGGTGCCTCAGGGGCCTGGGGAAGGCAGGGTAGTTTCTGCAAGTGTCCTAGGCACCACCTGCCCTCACAGCCCAGGCAGCCCTCTCGGCTATGTCCACCCACATGGATGGTCTGGGCTGGGCATGTTCTTGAGGGGGAGGGGCATGCCACTGCAGGGAGCAGCTGCCACTGCCGCTCACTCCTCAGAGCCATTGCTTCCGGCTCAGCTAGAGGGCCCTGAGTGTGAGCAGGGTGCAGAGCCACCACGTGTGCTCTTCTGGGGCCACCCCCAGGCCATGCACATGGGGTGCACGTGCATTTGTGCACGTACACACGAGAGCTGGTGCTGGCAGGCCCGTCCTGATGACAGCACCTGTCCCTCCTCCTGGAAGGCCACAGGGAAAACCTGGGACTTGGCCTGGGGGAGCCGGGCCCAGCACTTCTCAGGCCGCTTTCCACTGGAGCTGCTGGAAGAGAAGGTGCAGCCCGCGAGGCTCAGAGCCTCCTTAAGAGCTTTTTTGGCTTCCCAGCTTTGGCTTCTGCCGTTCTCCTGGCGGGAGAGGCCTGGGTGAGGGCAGCAGCCCCCAGGTGGCCCTGTGGGCCAGCATGGCAGCTTGCGCTGGGTGTGTGCACATGGGGGTCCACAGGCCTTGTCCGGGCAGTTCTGAGGGCAACAAGGGGCAGGCATACTCAAAACCAGGGGGGCTGTGCAGAGAGGAGAGGGCCTTATCTAAAGAGCTTATGCAGGGCACAGCAAGGGTGAGTGGGCTGGAGCCCCCCACTGTCATAAAGCCGCCCCTGCAGCCCCAGTGAGGCCCCTGGGGCTGGAGCCCGCCCTCCCGGGACGGAGGCCCACATGAGCGGGGGAGGGCTTCGTGCTGTGTGACTTGTGCCCATCTGTCTCCGCTGAGGCAGTGCCCTGGGTTGGAGCTGATGCCCTCCTTGGGCGGCCTGCCGGTCCTCTCCCCACAGGGCGTGGAGCGCATCGATGAGCCAGGCCTTCGGAGCCTGCGCACCGCTCGGCGCCTGGAGCCAGGCATGGTGCTCACCGTGGAGCCGGGCATCTACTTCATCGACCACCTCCTGGACGAGGCTCTGGCCGACCCGGCCCGCGCCTGCTTCTTTAACCGTGACGTCCTGCAGCGCTTCCGTGGTTTCGGTGGAGTGAGTACCAAGGGGCCCTGCAGCCTTGCTCACAGAACACCCACCCCCTGCACCCCACTGCTGTGTGTCACCCCTTTGCCCCAGGATGGTAGCCCTAGTGGGAGGAGGACAATCTTGACTTCCTTACTTGAGAAGGACCTGCCCTGTCCTTTCTCATGGTCTGTCCTGGGACAAGTGCCTCACCCCTCAACAGAAGCCCCGCCCCCTCCAGGGGCTCCCATCCACTGGCAAGGGGCAAGGACAGGGTGGGCAGGTGGCATGAGCAGATGGCCCCAGGGGAGGAGCCTTCGTCTCAGCAGTCACCCACAGAGGCCTTGAAGCCAGCCCTTTCCCTCCGGGGCAGTAGTGACCCCTCATCAGAAGGGCCTTCCCACTCAGCAAGGGCTCAGCCTGGAGCTGTCACCAGCTCAGAAATAATGAGCGTCTTGTCGACCTGACCCAGGTCCGCATTGAGGAGGATGTCGTGGTGACCAACAGTGGCATGGAGCTGCTGACCTGCGTGCCCCGCACGGTGGAGGAAATCGAAGCATGCATGGCAGGCCGTGACAAGGCCTTTACTCCCTTCTCTGGACCACAGTAGAGCTAGGCGGGAGTGCCCAGTGTGACGGGGACCAGCTTTGCAACCTCTCTTCTGGCTGGGCAGCCTGCTGATTTGCCCTCCAGCAGGAGATGGTGCTCAGAAATCACAGGCCGGCTTCCACATTTGATCACGGCAAACAGTGCTGTTTCCCGGGGGTCTAACCTTCTGCAAAATCACACCCTTAATCTGTCACTCTGCTTGAATGACAGTGGTTTTTAACAGGCTTACTGAAAATAATCCTATTCTTTTCTTTAATAACTAAAATGTGTCTTGCTGTCATTTGTATTCTTCTGCTCATGAAAGATGCAGTTTCACTGTTTCTCTCAAAAATCAATATGCAGAATGGAATTTACAATAAAAGATTTCCTAAAATGGGCCTTTGTGCACGGCTTCTTCTGTTCTTTATCCCTTTGCAGATGCGTACTGCATGCTTAGCCCCAGAAATGGACCCTGCAGAGGTCCCAGTGCTTAGGCAGCCTTTGCACAGTTAAAAGAAGAGGCCTTTTTGGGGTCAGCCCTGGTGGCCTAGTGGTTAAGTTCGGCACACTCCACTTTGGTGGCCTGGGTTTGGTTCCCAGGCACAGACCTACACCACTTGTCAGTGGCCATGCTGTGCTGGTGGCCCACATACAAAATAGAGGAAGATTTGCGACAGACGTTAGCTCAGGGCAAATCTTCCTCAGCAAAAAAAAAAAAAAAAAAAAGAGGCCTTTTTGATACTGTTACTGCCTCCAAGAGAGATTTCTGAGGGGCAGCATCACGTAGCTCTTAAGGTACAGTTATTTAAATCTTGAGACTTGCACAGATTCCCTGTCCTTGATTTCCTTTTCATGCAGACAAGCTAGCAAAGCCAGCATCTGTCTGAGAGACACTGCCATCTAAGGCAGCAGCATGGCAAAGGTGAGCTTTCTTGTTCCTTTCAGCTGTGCTGAGACCATGTGTCTCCCCCAAGTGTAAGCCCACTGACCAAATTCCACTCAGGTGAGAAGCGGGGCCTGGTCCCTGCCAGTGGCAGAACCCCTGTCCTTGCTCTGATTGCCCTGTTCTCCACAGTCCCACAGAACTGCCCCCCCACCCCCCCGCAGCCAGCTTCTAGAATTCTGTTCACCAGTCCAGCTTTCTCTTCACAGTGCCCTTATCCAGGGTTTTTCTGAGCCAAGGTGAAGGGCGAATGAGAAGACATCAGAGATGAGACCATAATGGGGTAGAAAACCTTTGTAGCCCAAGCTAGAGACCTTTTGAGAAGTCACTGAAGAGTTGAGTGCGAACTGATTTCTTCCTCTGGCAATAACACAAAAGCGCTTGTGATGTGGCCACATTCAAACAAAACCACCTCAGTTCCAAATCACCGTGTATCTCACTGCTTCCTAGATTCCTCCCATCCATTTGTCATGGTTTCTGCTGGTGCACAGATATAGTCCCTAAGTTATTTGCAACATTGAGCACTTTGACTGATGACTGTCCTTCTGAGTCTGTTTGAGTTCGCCAACTCTTTCTCTGCCCCAGCTCTCCCTGTGATGGACACGTTCTGGCACATACGGTTTCAATTCCCCCTCCCCCAGGCGAGCCCGGCTAGTTAGGTTGAAACTCTAAATGGACGGTTCAGTTTAGTCGTGTTCATTAAAAACATAGAGGAGCGTATCGGACATCTTCCTCCTTCCTCTCCTTCAGACGTCACGTACCAAAACTGCCCATTTCACGTAAACATCTTTGATTATCAAGTAGACAGAAAAGAACAAGGAGAAACCTCAGTGACTAAATGCCCTTTATCCCAGAGGGACGCTGGGAACGGAGATGTGGCTCTGGGCTAGGCTGAGTGGGGAAGTCCACGGGCGCTCCCTGGAGGTGGTCTCCGGTGGCCGGCAGTAGCTGCCCACCCTAGTCATGGTGGAGAGGATGTAGCCAGCTCTGGTCTCCTCCAGCTCCTGCAGGCAGTGGTACAGCTTCAGAAATGCATTAGAGACCCTTCCACAAAGTTGTATGGCACTAAAAGCCTTTCCAAACCCTGCAAGGGTCTAGGTATTCATTCAATAAATACTTGAGCACCTACTGTGTGCCAGTGGAGCAGAGAAACACGATCCCTGCCCTCAGAGCCTGGAGTCTCCTCTGAAGGGCTTCGCTTTAAATGAACATGTAGCCCCACATCATCGCAAACACTGACAAGTGCCATGAAGGAAAGTAACAGGACTGACCTTGCCTAGAAAGCCAGGGGGCCGAGACAGGAAGGGTTGAAGTGAAAAGCAAGAGTGGAGGCATTCCAGATGGAAGGTGCTGTCATAGGTGGCCCTGGAGTAAAAAGAGCCTGGAAAAGCCCTGCAGCCCAAGGAAAGCAATGTGGGAGAGACTGGAGAGAAATGAAGTTGGCAAACGGAGCCACACCACCAGCAGACGGGGTCTCACCATGTGCAGCGGGTACAACAGAAGGCTCTGGAGAGCATGCCATGGTCCAGGGAGACCAAGTCCAGGCAAGAGAGGATGACGGCTCTGCATAAGGCCGGGTGGGGAGGTGAAGCAGACAGGCTCAAGAGACACACTGAGGAGGCGGAACTGAGAGGTGGTGGTGATGTGAAAAGGCATCTGGCTCTGAGAGCCGCTTCAAAGGGAGTGCCGAAACTTGGGTAATTGGGGCTGCTAAAAGGCGTAGCATACGACTGCCTCACTAACCACCCCGCTCTCTCCCAAGTCCAGTTCCACAACCGCAGGCTCTAAACGCCTCTGCAAACTTTCAGGCCGAGTGCTCTGTGAGGAGTCAGGATGCTGTGGTAAAAGAACACTGAGAGCTGGCGTTCTCCTCTTGAGTTTACGCAAAATGCACATGAACTCTTCAGGTACAGCAGCGAGAGCAGTCGGCCTACAAGCACTTCTATTAAAGAGCTGACACCTTCACAAAACATCCCTATGTAAAATTCCCCAAGACAAGTTACTGGGTTTTAAATTACAACTAATTCATAAAAATGAAATAGGACATACTACCCACGGAAATAATTACTGTACTACAATTTTCATTAAGATGCACTAAGTAGAAACCTATTTCTCAAGACATGAAAATAACTGAAGGATCATAGAAGAATTCATTTCTATAGACACTCTGGCATCACGTACATGAAGATGATGTACATGCTAATAAGTGCACTGTTGGGGGAAAGGCCTTCCTTTGACATCCCTGTCTACTTCAAAGCATAAGAACTGATTCCCTACCACTCTGTAAATGGAAGCCACAGAGTGAGGCACTAGCTGGCTAAGCAGGAACATGAGTAACTGCTTCCTCTATGCTAACAGACATTTTTAGGTTAGACCAGGGGACAACAAATACAACTAAAGAGGCACTCTATAGTCAGAGAAAACCACATTCCTGTCCAGGAGGGAAATCTAGACTCAGACACAAGCACCTCTGCTCTCCCCGACACCCTCACCCCTGCCCTGGGCTGGGAACAGGAAAGAGAGCAGGGCATGCATATGCCTGCTCTTCAGAGCTCATCAACATTTGACTACTTTCTTAGTGTCTAACAAAGAAACCCACAAGGAAATACAGTCATTATTCCAAAGTTGTTTTTATTTCAAATTCATTGAAAGAAATAAAATTATATTTAAAAAAATAGAGTAATCTCACAAACTGAGGACAGCCAGGAACAAAAAGAACAAGTTAAATACTTTTTTTCCTGAGAGGCAGATCTAACAGCTGTAGAATGGACTTTCTCCTTCCTAGCTTTTGTCAAAAAAACATTTTTTCCGCTAGTTCTAAGGCATCAAAAAGCACTCTGAGTGCTAACTGGATTGTTCAGGTACAAAGTTTCAAGCCCTCTAATGGGGAAACATTAAAAGCTGCTACAATTCCCTTTCTTTTAATATCAAATATTAAACTGTACATACTTCTACTTTTTTATGTAAATTTGAGAATTTCACACTCATGACCTGAATTTCAAAAATCTGGTTATATTTTATTAAAACCTTCCTACTTCTTAGTAAGAATGTCCAAAGTATCTGAGCTCGCATCCCAATAACTGAAAGGGGCCGGAGAGCAGAAGGGCCGCGCGCTCTCACCCACAGCCCAGGGCTGTCAGAAAGCACCCATGCCGGGAGACCTAGCTGCAGCGAAAAATGGACACTAAAGCCTAATTCCTAAACCACTGGACCCGCCGGGAGGCAGACCAAATGCTAATGGTTCATAGGTAACCTACAGAACAAAAGTTACGAGTCACTTTACAATTCCCAAAGCTCTAAACTTACCCATTCCCCATACTTGATTTCCTCAATCTTGTACTGATAAATCTATCACACTAAAAACTTTCATTCCCAAACACGTCAGTAAGATAGTCAAGACAATGGTGAACATTTCTGCTCTATGCATAAATGCCTGTTTGGCCGAAGTTTGGATTTGCATGGCTAAGAGGAAAGCTGGGATCAGTTTCTCCAAAGCTTCCAATCTCATGTTCTAATTTGAAACACTGATCACACCTGATGATCTCCCTAAAGCTGCTTTTCCAAGATAGTTAAGTCAATCAGATGACTGGTAATCACATATTCCATGTGGACATGAATTTCTGAAAGACATTTTTTAGTAAGTAAGAGATTAAAATGTCTGTAACACCTATTACAGGTGCTTAAGGATTCAAGTGACCTACTGCGTCTCCAATGATAGCATCAATCAGCTATTAAAGATTCAGGAGGATTCTGTGGGTATCTCTTAGTAACTCAAAACATCTACAACCTCTCCAAGTAGATGGATGTTCCAACCAAAGTAAGCTGTCTTGGACCCTAATAGCAACCCCCATCCTGTCTCCTGGCTCTACAGGGAGTTAACTCTCCTGGGACAGCAGCTCTCATGGAACAACACTGAGGCTCCTGTCAAATGCAGAAGGGGCTCAAGGCCTCAGTAATGGCTTTACTAAGTTGGACGGTGCTGTGCCATCCTCCTCTGCCCAGGAGAAGAGCACAGACAGCACTCTTCCACCAATGCAAGGGTGTAACTTGAATTATGTCCTGTCCCAGGTCCTAGTATGAGACAGCAGTGTGGCCCAAAATAATCATGTTCAAATGAGATACACAGCAACACAAACTTTTTAATCAGCTATGACTCAGTATCTGGTCACCACCCCAGGGACACACACACAAAAAAAACCCCACACACAAAGGCCAACAAATCTGAGCTAGAACTGTGCTAAAAAAAAAAAGTCAACAAGGACAATCAAAACTACTAACTGATAGAAGCCAAACTTTAGAATTCCCGACTTTAGTGACTGCCATTTTTTAGTCTCAACAAAAATGTCAATATCCTGAGTTTTATCAGTGTTTTCTTTCTAAAATAATTTATGAGACATAAAAGCAGAGAAATGAATAAACAAAAGCAGTGGTACAAAAAGTCTGGAAGAACAGCCCACTAACTAGAAAATGAAATGTCACAAAAACAATATAACAAGATGTATTTAGGTAAAATAAATTAAAGGTTAAACCTTACACTTTCAAGTTTTTTTAGTCTATTATTTTGGGAGATGGCATGGAGTTGATGATGCATTTTTTAATCATCAGTTGGTTAGGATCAAATACTAAATGATGCTTCACAAGAAATTTTTGCCTTTAAAAATCATGGCCCCACTGCACATCTTTGAACACAGGAGAAACTACCTGCTGAAGCATTCTTCCAAATCCTCATCAGCTGCTTGTGTGATCAAACTGTTAAGACATTTGTTTACTGACATGGCTGTCAAAACGGTATTTTAAAAAAATGCTTAATTTACTAGCATCTGCAGAAACTAAAATTTTGATACACAAGTTTCTCTAATCCACTCAGTTTTTTGGGAATTTTTTTTTTAGAAAACAAAATAATGCTAAGCCAATATCCCAAAGGTATCCCAAAAGCATAATTCTAATATGCTTTACCTTTATTTTTTAAAAACCTATTTGCTTCCTAAATGTTACTTCTATTTTTTAAGCCCATTGGCTGCATAGTGCCTTTAAAATGCAACGAGGTTTCTTCACTTAACCTGACATCGCTATTCAAAAACCTGTACTTGTTGGGGAAAACAGTACTAATTATGCTAAAACAAGGTTTATGCTATACATAAAATCACTCCAAATTACAAAGTGATTGGTGATTAAAAATGCCCTAAGGATTTTTAATACATAATTTAGAATAAAATCACAAACAGATTAACATAGATGGCATTCATCTTTTCTTAATCCAATTAACCAGATCCATTAAAACCAAGAACTTTCTGCATGACCTGCCAGTTCCGCCATTCCTTTTGTCAACCTGAAAAAGAAGCATGTCTTGGGAAGTCAGGATTTATTAAGAACATCAAGGTCCAGGGCAATTTTTTTTACCATATACCTTAAAATTTTGTTTTTTAATCTCCACAAAAATCCATATCATTTAAAACCAGAAACTCAAATTATATGTCTAACATTTTTAGCTAATCAACGCGTCAGTGCTGATCCCAGAAAACAACCTTCAGTGGATCTTAAATAATGGAACAAGACAACATTCAGCCATTGCTATGAGAGGGGTAGGCAGTCACACCTCTGACGTTAGCCACAAGCTGTTTGGAAGGGGTGGGTCTACTGTCCTGCATTATCAGAATTTGTCGTCAAATTTTCAGTGCTACTGGGTTGCACATTATCTGTGAGGTTGTGTGCATGCTCAAGAAACAAATCTTTCAGTACACTTAATTCCTTAGTCAGCAATTTAATTTTTGCTTCCAAGCGTTCATTCTCTTCTTTAAGCTGATTCACTCTCTGCAGTGTATCCTGTGCTTTCTGCTTGCTTTTCAACCGGCTCTTTTTCACGGCCATGTTGTTCCTCTCTCTGCGTTGACGGTACTCGTCACTGTTTCGATCCATGGGCGAACTCTTTTTGCTTTGCTTGCTCGGAGGCACAGCTTTGCCTCCTCCCCCAGGGCCAGCGGGCACCAGCTGAGGAACCTGCTGTAAGCCGCTGGCATGAGCCTGAGTATGAATAACACTTATTCCATTCACTCCCGGAGTACTGTTCTGCTGCGCTATCTTGCTCATTTGGGCACTCTCCCTTGCCAACACAGAACAGGTAGAAAGAAGGGCAAGACGATCAATGGTTTCCACGCTAAACTGCCAAGAAATCTTCACATATACCTAGTTAAAAAATAAATTGTGTTAACATATTTGAAATGACAAGATCTAATGAGATTAAACTTGCATGGACCTAAGAGCAGGCCAACATTGATTGATTATGCTGAGAAAAGTCTACAGCAACCGCCAACTGTTGCAATGTTTCAGAAGTCAAAATCATTTAATTTAGAAGGTTAAGTTGGCACAGAAGCACCGTCAGGCCACATTCAGCCCACCTGAATCCCTGAGGGTACTGCCCATCTGTGACTCTTACCAGAAAGGGGAGGAAAAACAAAAGAATACCACTAATTAGGTAGCAGATAGGAACAGCACTTGGCAAGATGCCAGAGAGAAATTTGAGATGTTTGGGTTAAACATGGAAAAGCTGAGTTCAATTATAACAGAAGAGACACCTGCAATGAAAGGAGAAAAAAGTTTCAATTGTTGGTTCAAGTCAAAACTAGCAGGTTGGACCAGAGTCCCCGGCCTCCCACACTCCTCAGGAATACTGCACTATGATCCCACGGTTCCTTATTCCAATACGCAGGGAGTGAGTCATCAAGGACTGGACTTTTCTCCCAGAGCCTATCTTTATGGGATATTTTGAAAAAAATGTTTTTTTTGCTGTTCTTTTCTAATGACCTCAAATGACAGTAGTTTACAGACATGTCCTAAGTTAGTTTCTTGGATCACAGATTTAGGAGCTCTGAGACACCCAATTTGCTTTCCTGCCCCACAGTGCTTCTAATCATGTTTTTTTTTTCTTTTTGACATGATTAATAAACACATCTAAACACAGTCAACCTGAAACCACAAGGAAAGAAACAAAAGCTCTAATGATACATGCAAGGAGGTGTAAGTACTGGAACTCAGACTAGACCAAGAGCGGAGCAGCTGCAGTGCCTGCACCCACTTCACACTGCCGAGGGAGCTCAGAGCAGACGCCAAGTCCGAAGCGCTCGTGCAGGGCTGCCTGTAGAAATGAGGTCACGGTTTCAGAAGCTAGTCATATTCAGATTACTCGGAATCCAACTAGGTCTCTACGATTGCCTCAAGATGCGTCAAAAGCATACCTATCCTATCATCATGAGGCCACTTCACGACAAACTGACTACCATGAGTGAACCACGTCCACCAAGAAGTCATAGCACTCTTGGAAATTTAGAAAGCAGAGTTATGAACCATAAAACTGTTCTGTTCTCTTTTCACAAGACTGCTAAAACTACATCAGTGGAAAAAACCTGGAGCCGGAATTATGAAACGCCTCAAATGAGTACATCTCACATTTCTTAGGAAAAGCTCAGTCAGTAAACACCAGTAGCTTCACCCAAACCTTTAGCCAGGTATTTCTGTATAAACACTCTTCATTGGTCTGCTTTTCTTAGATGCTTTTAAAAAGTCCATACATCACCACTTTCAATTGGTTTCAAAGCCACACAGGCAGCCCTGAGCTAGCAGGTCATCGGTTCTCACTCCAGTACTAAGGCAAGACAGAAAGCTTCCTTCCAAACCCTGAAGGAGATCCACTCCAAGTCTATCTTCAGTAATGGACATTTCACAATTTCCCTTGATAATTTATTATGTTCCCTATTTTTTCTTCCAGTTAAAACGTGGCAGTTCAGTATTAATTTGAGCCACCCTTACTACTAATAGTGTTAGTGGCCGTCTACACTACTGCTTATCTATTTGATGTTATACATCTATTTGGTGAATATAAATGTTCTACTCAATTTTTAAGAACTTGTTTAATTTAATACCTCTCCTGGGATTGTCTCAACAATCAGGATCACGTTCATCTTATCTTCTTTTTCATTTTTCATATACCAATTATGTTTTTAGTCTTTAAAGCTAATCTCTACAGTCAACTCAGAGATAACAATGATCCAAAGAAGCACAGAAAAGGAACCAGGTCAATTCTTGCCTTGGCTCTGGCTCCCCCTTTTTCACTTTGGACAAACCCCTTCCCTTCTGTGGACCTCCATTTCCTCATCTGCAAATGAGGGATGCAGAATGGTGAGATGCCTTCTGACTGTGACAATATGCCATGAACTTCAGTCACTAAGAACTCTTATTACAGGCTCCAAATTTGCTTATATGCATGCCTGTTTTTGTACCCAAAGATACAGGAATATGGAAGGGCTCTTTTTCCTCAGTCTGATTCATCTTGCTGAACACAGTAGGGGAAGTTTTGAGAATGAGCCCTTTGGCTTGAAAAACAGAGAGTAGTCATCAAACTGGTAAAAATATAAGAAAAGGAAATTTGGAGATAACAAAAACTCTTAGAAATAATAAACCTGATCACAAAAAGGTTAAAAAAAAAAAAAAAGTAAGTAAGTTCTTCAACCAAAGACAAGCCAAGAAAGTAGCTCTTAAACGTGAAGAGATATCCATTAAGGAACGTGAACCATGTAAAGGGGGTCAAAGAACTAAGTCATCTCAAAGACTTAACTCCAAACAGATTACCAATTTTGTTTTTACACTGAGCAAACAGCTGCCTCCAAAACTTACACACTGTACAGTTTACACTGTCATTGTGCTTTTGTTCCTTCCAGAAACATTTATTCAGCACCTAGAATGGGCAAAAAAGTTTATTTCAAATCTGTATATTCAACCCTAAATGAAAGTCTGGCTCCTATGCAGACAAATACTATTCCAAAGTGTAGGCTACAGGAAGCAGGGCGGCGCCTTGTTTCCCTGCATGTGAATCATTCAAGCAGGAAGCAGCAGAAAAACTGAAGAGCAGTAGTTCTCAAAGTGTGGTCCCTGGACCAGCAGCAGCATCATTTGGGAACTTGTTGCAAGTGCCAACTCTCAGGCTGGCCCAGACCTAGGAATGAGGAGCTCTAGGAATAGGGCCAAACAATCTTGTTTTAACAGGACCTCCAAGTGATTCTGATGACACTGAAGTCTGACAGTTGTTAAGGCTGCACATTACCAACGGATCTTAAGAAAGGATTGAGTGGGTGACATTTTTTTAATTCAACTTTCTTAATTCGAGTAATGTTCATTCAAATCGGTAACACTGAAAACTCAGAATGTTAGAAGGAGTAAAACAAAATCAAATTTTTCTCAAATTTCATTAAGAATTTTCCTAACCCTCTTATTTTTTTTTACATATGTACAATCAGATATCCTTCCCCCTGCCACCCAAAATAAATTTTTCACTCAAATTCCCTCAGTGAAGATCTACACTCCAAAATATTCATAGATGTTTCTCCCCTGCTCCAAATCTGTTCAATCATTAGTATCTGGCAATTCGACCCACTCCCCAAATACACATCCACCATCCCTCTCCATCCCAATGCCACAGAAGTACCTCAGACTGACATCATCTCTCAGGGGCACTAGGCTCCTCCGGTTTAGCAGTGTTCCCTCCAAACACTGTCTCCAGAGCAATCGAGCACTCAAACTTGAGTATGTCACACCCTCTTGCTGAAAATCCTTCTGTGGCTCAGGCATACAGAATCAAATCCAAGGTGTTAACCTCTCTCCAGCCCCTGATCCCTTACACTTCACACCTCAACAGTACTGCACCACAATCAGTTCCCTAAATGGTCCGTGCTTTCTCTTTTCTTTGTGCTTCTGTCCAATTTTCTTCTGTCAACACCAGCTCCACAGTGTACCTCCCTATAAACTAACCTAGAGGCAGGCGTTTGTCTTCTCCACATGCCCAGCATCTAGTGCAGGGCTGGGTGTATACAGCAGCATTCAAGAAATATTTGCTGAATACAGGCTCAAAAAGCTAAGAGAAAATATTTATTTTTATACATGTGTTATACGAAAATGAGACTCTCTAGCACTGAAATCTCTTAAAACAACCGCAATTCAATCAAGACTGTTACTAAGATATTTTCTCACTACCTAAAGTTCTTGGTCTTTCTTAAAAGTGTACAGAAAAACAAAAATACAGTTCCATTTGTGTAAGTTGCCAGTCCATACAGTGAACGTCATTTTTCTCTGGTCTTTGCTTCATTTCAGTTTAGAACTTTATTTTCTACGTAGCCCAGTTATGTTTTCCAATTAACAACTTCCAGTTCTTAGGCATGTATGCCAGGATCTAACAACTCTGTACCACAAATGAAGTCAAGGTAAGCGCAGTCAACTCAAATGAGCAGGATTTCTATTTAGTTCCACTGCTGGCTTCATGACCCAAAACAGGGATCCATGAAGGAGGGTACATCCTCTCAGGGAGCACATAAATGGTCTGCTGGAGTACGAGAAAAAAAGCTATATTTATTTGTCTTTTTCTAACGTCTTATTTTAAATCTACTTTTGGTGTGACTTACAACATATAAAAAAATAGTACACACACACAGTTTATAAATATACATCTATTAGGAAGTCATGCTCAAATTTTTCCTTTTACTGACAAGGCTGGAAAGCCAAAAAGGTAGAAGACCAATGTACCTACCAGTTACAAGAACCCAGAGAAGCACCCCCTGCCAAGAATACACAGTAAACCTGCATTTACCATGTGATCAGGTGAGGCAATCTTAGGCCATAAGACCAAATTCAGCCCCATGAGGTCCTACTATTTGTGTCTAGCAGGGACTCACCACATGCTGTTTAAATCTCTAGGGATGAAACCACGTCTCCATAATCAGACAACCTTGCCGACAGTCATGATGTACTCCTGAGGATTTAAAGGATAATCTGAAAAATGCAGTTTTGTTTCTGCCTATTTTTTTAGGGGTATTAAAAAATGACTATCAGAGCTAGCTCTGATGGTCTAGTGGTTAAAGTTCAGGGCTCTCACAGCTTTGGTGGCCCAGGGTTCGCTGCCCCATGGCAGAATCCCACCATCTGGCTGTCAGCTGCCATGCTGTGACAGTGCCTCACATAGAAGAACTGGAAGACGTTACAACTTACTACTAGGATATACAACTATGGACTGGGGCTTTGGTGAGAAAAAAAAGTTAAAAAAAAAAAAAAATGATTGAATCTGCCAAGTGCACCCAAGTGCAGGAATCAAGAAATTGAAAACTTTTTTTAGCTCACTAGCATCCTGTAATTATTTAACCTTGCTTACAGTTTTTCCAGAAACAGAGAATCAACTTTCAGAATAGCTTATCCCAAATACTACTCAAGTGGTAACAGATGACCAGATTTTCACTTTCAAATATCAAGAACTTTTAGATGCAGAATTTCTTAGTAAGCAAGCCCTTATAGTATTTTATTTCCATAATTTCTTTCGGAGTCGCACATCCTCTCTGAATTAAAAGTCAATCTCTTCAAACAAGGATTCAACTGAGTGTGGGCTCAGAGAAAGAACTACCAATTTTTGTGCAACCCACCAATGTTAAAATCTTTCCCAAAGTGACATATTTTAAGATGCCACATTCCAGCAAGAGCCTCAAAAGAGAGGCACACCACACACTTAAACCTTCCAAAGAACAGAAAGACACAAGCTGACTTGAAGGACAGCCTATCCTTCCCCGCAGCCACGCACGTCCATCCTCTCCATCTAGTCACCTCTGCGGGCTCTTGCCGTGCTCCCTCCGACCGTGCTAAGGCAGCGCGGCATCCCTCGCCCCCGTCTTTCCTATTCACCCGTGGGGACCGCAGGCTCCTCTAACCCATGTTCAACAGTGAACTGCAGGATATTCACAGCACAGCCCCAGGAGAAAGCGTGCTATTATTTCTGTAAAGTCCTGTACTTGAAAATCAACTTCTTTCCCTAGCAACTTGATGCCTCTATTACCTGCTGAACACAATTCCCGACCACCTCGCATCGAGCAGCTCCCTGGGGGCAGGAAACATGCTACCTGCGCTAAAGTGGGCTACGGTCCCCCTTCTGCTACTCTGGGAACACCCTTCATCCCCAGGGGCCAACACCAGCCCGGCCTGTCACAGCCGCCCGGCTCACGAACACAGGGCCGACTTCCGGAGGGCACACCTCGGCCTCCCTCCCGCCCGGGCCCGCAGCGAGGGGCGCCCGGGGGAGCGCGGGGGTCGGCGGGCGGCGCTGGGCCGCGGCCAGGGATGAGCTCAGCGGCCCAGCCGAGTGTTGCCGGCAGGTTGCATCAGACGCCGCGCGGGGCCGCCGCCCACGCCGCAGGCCGCGCGGGGCCTTCCCGGCGAGCCGGCCGCCTCGGGCCGGGCCGGGTCTCCTCGGGCCGGGCCCAAGCACACGCAAGCGGCCGGCTCCGCCGCGGCCTCCTACTCCCCGTCAGCTCGCCGGCCAGCCCACCGCCTCCTTACCTGCGCCTCCAGCCCGCCCGCCCCCAGGCGGCCTCCACTCCGAGCGGCCCCGCACGGCGCGGCCCGACCCGACCCAGGCCTCGCAGCCCGCGAGTCAGCGAGGAGGAGCGACGGTTACGAAACCGGCAGCCTCCGCCCGTTCCGCCGCCGCCACCGGCTTCCCCTCCTCGCGGGGGCCGCACGCTGCCGCCGCCGCCGCCACGACCAATGGGAGGGCCAGCCTGCGGCCGTCGTGCCCGCCCCTCGCGACGGACGGCCCCGCCAGCCAATCGCGAGCGGCCTGGGTGCGGGAGGAGGGCACGTGGCGGAGGCGTCGACCGTGGCGCGGCGGGGTGGGCGGGCGTGGCGGCAGCGACGCTGCCCGGGGTTCCTCCGCCGTTGGCGCGGGGCGGCGGCACCCAGCTGTCGAGACCAGTCGCGAGGAAGGGTCTGTGAACGCTGGAGGCGTTGGAGAGCCGTAGCCTTTGAAGGCAACACCTGTCTTCGGAAAGCACGATTTCCTGAGGTGGTGTTTCGAATCAGCGGTTTCTGTTTTGGTTTCCCCGCCTCCTCGGGGAGCCCCCTCGGCGTCCCTCCCGGGGACAGTTTCCCGGGAGGAGGGGCGCCCGACGGGCCCGCGCCCTCGGAGGGAGCCAGCAGAGAAGGCCTGGAGCTCGCAGCTGGGAAGGCCGCTGCAAACTTGTTAAGAAAACGAACGAAGCCAGATTTTCCCGACGTAGCGTTAGCGCTGACGTCACGTTGGAGAACACAGCAGGCTGCGGTGCTCTGGTGCCGAAACGGACGGCGTCTCTACGGTCGCCTCCCGCGCGGCGTCTTCCGGGTGAACAGATTGAGGTGGGAGCTCCAAAACTGAATGGCAGTCCCGCTTGATTTATCCACGACGATTCACAGGCGGATCTGAAAGCACTTTCAAACCAGGAAGCAGCGCGCGGGGCAGAAGACAGAGTCGGCCCGGGGGTTTGATTGCTTCCTCTTTAGCAACTTGTCCAAAAAGGAGAGTCTATGAAAGAGGAAACGTTTCCTCATCGCCCAGGCCGTGGCACCAACTCTCCGCATAAGACTGTTTCGAGGAATCAGTGAAGAGATGATAAAACATGTGCAAAAAAAAAAAAAAAAAACGGTAAAAAAATCAAAATAAAAAGGGCTGCAACTGGAAGTGAACAGCGATGACCGTAGAAGCACACTTGGTGGAATGGCAATATCATCAAAACCAGTTTCTTTCACTTTGGCCCTCAGTGTTCTTAGTTGAAATGTTTTTGATCAAGATTTTAGCACTATTAAAATTAGATTGTAATTTGTTGCTCACAAAATCATAGTTTTACCCTCACTGTTTTCTAATCACTTAAAAATTGTATAGATAAAAAGTCCTGTGGATATATTCATTTATCCTCTGGTTTGCTAGCCACTCTGCCAAGTCTGGACAGGCCTGCCACACTCAGCAGGTGTAGTCAATGGCAAGGAGACTAGAGTATTTATTTCCTCCTCAGCTAGGAGCTGGTCATTCCTCTACTCAGTTTACAAATATTTATTTGGTGCCAACTGTGTGCTAGCTGTGGGCTAAGTGCTGGGGATTCAGCAGTGCACAAAACAAACACAGTCCCTGCCCACGTGAGCTTACACTTAGAGCCAAGGGAAACAGACATTCAGTAATTAACAATTTTTTAATAACCGTTTTCATAGATACTACAAGAAAGAAGTACACGATGCTGTGAGAGATTGTAAGAAGGAATCGAAACCGGGTGTGTGGGTCAGGGAAGCCCTAAAAGATGAGCAGAGTTTGGCTGGGTGGCACAGATGAAGTGGATGTGCCAGTCAGAGGGAACGTCTTATCTAAAGATCTTGTGATGGGAGAAAATCAAGGCCGGAGTCACTGAATGAACCACAGTGTCCCAGTTAGACCGATGAGATAGGCAGGGCCTTGTGGCCCAAGAAGCTTTCTGATTTTTACCTAAGAGAGATGGGAAGCCATCTCTTGACTTGCTCTCACCGTGAAGAAATGAGGAGGGTCGGCCAAGTGGTTAAGTTCGCTTGCTCCGCTTCGGCGGCCCAGGGTTTCGCTGGTTCGAATACTGCGCGAGGACATGGCACCACTCATCAGGCCACGCTGAGGTGGCATCCCACGTGCCACAACTAGAAGGGCGCACAACTAAAAATACACAACTATGTACCAGGGGGCTTTGGGGAGAAAAGGAAAAATAAAATCTTTAAAAAAAAAAAAATGAGGCGAGCCTGGCAGAGGCTATCTCTAGGTGGAGGAGATCCACTGTGTTGCTTTCTTGCGAGTCACAGGGACCCAAGCCATCATAATAAAAGAAAAACTTCGTGCATAGATCTCTGCCTCCCTGATACCCAGTACATATTCTACAAATCCGAAGAATTAGTAAACAAGTACTACATTAAAATCCCCTCCCAGGGACTTGAGAAGTAGAATGGCCTGTTAACCAAATATGCCAGTGACCTGAAAGCTACTATGATTAACTACCTTAGTTACCTAAGAGGTACGAATGCTATGGTCAGGCTGTTCTGTCCACAGCTTCACCTCTCACTGGTTGTGTGACCTCAGGCAAATTTCTTGACCTCTGTGTCATCCATGAATGGGGATAACAACTGTATCTACCCAAGACGATTGCTGTGAGGATTAAAGGCGTTAACATGTTAGGCCACTAGAACAGTGCCTGCGTGGTTCGTGGTAGGAGTGCAAAAGTATTAGCCATGATGCTCATGCATGAATTATAAACAAATTATATCCATAGAATTATAGTAGACCAAAATGAGCTTCCAGACAAGGTCAAGCTGTGCTTAATATTGATTTGATGATTCAGGCACTGAAATATACATAATATTGAAGGTCTTGATCCTGACCCTATGGTGTATCCCCAAAGGTGTTTTTTACAATAGTTCCTTTAGTTGCCACACTTATCATTTCATTTGTTTCTATAAAGTAGGGTGGAGGAAAAACTTAATAATTTGAAATCTCTTGTTGTTTGAAAGCCAGATCAATAGACATTTACTGTGCAAACTTAAATATTTATCTTAAATATAGCTTAAGTATTTACGATAATACTTAGGTAGGTAGCTTAAATGTGTCTTTGGAAAGTTTCTGAAAAATTAATAGACTAAATTAACCACCTTTGACAGAAGATCTGGCCCATGTCTATAGTATTTTGAGAATTGAGATAATGTCTGTCACAGGTTTGACTCTCGGTAGATATTTATTGTGTTATGTTAGCAATAATATGACAGTCATTGTCAATCATCCTGCCGTGGTGAGAGCTCTTTTGATTGGAAGTAGCTGAAAACAATCCCTGACTAGCCTTAGCATAAAGAAGGATGTGGTCAAAGATTTTAGGACACTCTTCATGAAATACCCAGGCCGTATCAGAACCAAGAACTCAAATGCTCAAAGGTCTTTATGTCTGTCTCTGTCTGAGTATGTGCGTATGTGTGTATGCACGTGCCTATTGGTTTCATTATTCTTTCTGATTGCTTCTTTCTTCACATGGCCAATGACAGCCTCAATGTTCACAGCTTTGGTAACTAGAGAAAGGCCAACTCTCTTTATAAGTTCCTGTTACAAAAATCCTTAGGCCAGGACTCTGGGATTGGCCCAGCTGGGTTATATGTTCATACCTGGAATGATCAAATGGCCAGGAACAGATCACAAAGTACTAATATGGCAGTTATGGAGGGAATGGCAGAGGCAGTTCCCAGAAGAAAAGAGAGTGCTGAGAGACAAATCCATCAATATCCATTTCAAACATCAGATCACACTGGTCTCTGATGGAGCCTTAGTCCCTCTGCTTGACTGATTTGTTCTTTCCCATATGATATGATTCCAATCCTTGAGGGGGAATTTTAAACCTCCAGTTTTACCTTTGGAGGCACCATTTGGGATCATAACAGCTAAGATGCTAGTTATCTTAGGACGTTTCCAAATTTCATAAGTGGGTCCTATGCATGAAAGAGAAAAATCTGACATAGTTTAAACTTCAACAGTTGGCAAATACTGTGAATGTCCATTACAAAGCATTTTTCCATGTGTCAGATTTTGTTAGCCTCTGAGTTAAGATCTGTCGTCTGTGCACTTAAGAATAGTACTTGTCATCTGTGTGCACAAGAATAGATAGGTACCATGTGAGCACATGAAGATAGTATAGATCATCTGCACACATGAGGAAAACTACATGCATCTGTGCACATGAGGCTAGGTGCCTGTTGTCTGTGCACATAATGATGATAGGTATGCGTCATCTGTGCACCTAAGGGCTGTGACATCTGTGCACATCAGGAGAGGTAATCTGGATCTTTTATGGGCCTAGGAGGGCGTCTCGTATCTTCACTCTGTGGAATAAGCACGAATTACCTGTTGCATAATTATTGTAATGCAAATTATTCCAGTGTCTATGAAGCACAAAACTGGAGATGAATGAGGTGGGGTTTTTTTGGTTTATTTGCAATATATGCGACACCAGTCTCCATCATGGCAGTACGATGTGCTTTGGAAAGAGAATAGGGTGATGTTGGCTAGCATTTAACCCAGCTAAACCTCTGTTCCTCATCTATAGAGAGGGTTGACAGTAAATACCTCCTAGAGTTGTTATGAGGATTAAGTAAATCGACATGAAAAGAAGATAGCATAGTGCCTGGCACATAGCAGGCACAAAATAATTTGTTCATCCAAAAAGAATTTGTTACCTAGGACCCAGTTCTTAGTTTCTAATACTGTTCTCCAATAAAAGAAACTGGGCTTGGAGAAATGGCTAATTCTAGGATTGAGGCAGAAAATATACAAAATGAGCCTGCAGCATCTTGCAGTACCAGAAAGTGAGGAAGTACTCAAAAAGCAAAACAATGGCGTGGGGGAGGGCGTACCTGAGCTCAGGCTGCCGTAGTGAAGTATCATAGACTAGGTGCCTTAAACAACAGAAATTTCTCTCTCACAGTTCTTGGAAGCTGGCAAGTCCAAGATCAAGATGCCAGCAAGGTAGATTTTATTCTGAGCTCTCTTCTCTTGGTTTGTAGGCAGCTACCATGTCACTGTGTGCTCACATGACCTCTTCTTTGTGCTCAGGCTGGGAGAGAGAGAGCAAGCTCTCTGGTATCTCTTCTTATAAGGGCATTAATCCCATCATAAGAGGGCCTTCATGAACTCCGCCCTCA